ATACCCTCGCGTCCAACTTTTGGTCTACATATGCCCTTATGGGTGTTAGTTGGTCAACTCGAAATATCCAACTCATTTTATTTTTCTTTAAATGTCAAATGGGATTTCACATCATTTATATATATATATATATATATATATATTATCACTTGACATTTATATTAAAAGAGAGAAGGGTCACTTATGCCCTAACTATTCGACCCAATTTTAAAACACATATACGACCGTCTTTTAAATGGTTCAATTATGCCCCTAACCCGACTCATATATGTGTGAATTATTCTATTATTTACATCATCGTCGCATGTTGCAGCTTGCAGTTGTGTCTGTAACGTTGTTGCGGTGAATTCCTCCGCTCTAGTCCTTGCCTGCCAGGTTTGCGCCTCCAGCTCTGTGTTGCGCCAAAACGCTTTTCAAACCTCGACTTCCTTTTCCTTCAGTTGTCGTGCCATTGATTCCTCGGCGGTTTCAATCAGAGCACGATAGTGTTCGCCATTTAAATGGTTCAATTATGCCCTAATCCGACCCATATAGGGTATTTGAAAAAAGGGGTCGGGTTGTATAGATTATTTAAAAGACGGGTCGTATATGTGTTTTAAAATTAGGTCGGATAGTTAGGGGCATAAAAGATCCCTTTCTCTTTTAATATAAATGTCAAGTAATAATATATAAAAATGATGTGAAAAATCCATTTGACATTTAAAGAAAAGTAAAATGAGTTGGATATTTCGAATTGACCAACTAACACCCATAAGGGCATATGTAGATCAAAAGTTGAAAGGCGAGGGTATAAATTGACCAAACTTTAAACGGGGTATATCTAGACCTTTTTGAATAGGTTAGGGGCATATTTGACCCTTTTCCCTTGAATATAAATTCAAGTGATAATACATAAAAATGACGTGGAAAATTCATTTGGCATTTAAATAAAAGTAAAATGAGTTGGATATTTCGAGTTGGCCAACTAACGCCGAAAAGGGCGTATGTAGACCAAAAGTTGGATGGCGAGGGTATAAATGGACCAAACTTTAAACTGGGGTATATCTAAACCTTTTCGAATAGTTTAGGGGCATATTTGACCCTTCTCCCTTTAATTTTTGTATCTATTCTATGCTTGTCATTCAATACTATTTATCATCTAACACATTTCCTAAAGTATTAAATTTAATATGATCAAACGATACATAATATTAATATTACTCTATTATTTATTATTTCTTAAGAGGTGCGTCTATTTAATAATGAACAACTATTTTGTTTAATAGAGAGAGTATCATACATATATTTTTTATATTTTTTTTTGTTTGATGTGGCTTCTTTTTTTGTGTGAGGTGTGATTAAAGTAGAATATAATTCAGTAACTTTAATTTAAATTTTATATTTTGTTTTAAAATGTTCATTCAACATTTATAAATTATAAATATAAAATTGGAATTTAGTAATTTTAGAAGGCTGAAATTTCTTAATTCATATTTAAATATAAGCATTCTATCGCGATACAAATATATATTACTGATTTAACTTACGCAACTCATACTCTATAGATAACACAAAACCTCTTGCTATTGCTTTGAGACTCTCTTCTAACAATATAGAATACTACCATCTTCACGAGGTATTGTACAATTTATTAGGCATATTATTGTTTATTTTTTTGAGTTTAGAAAACAATAAATATCAAAAATCGAATTAAGCCAAACTAATTCGATTCTTAGATTATAACATAAGGGCAATGGTTATCAATTTTTCACAAAGATTGGTTTTGAAGGAAGTTACTATAAAGTTACAACTACACATTTTACATTCACACCTTTTACAACCCAATAGTTTATGCTTTGACAATGATTAATTATATTAATGACATCTTAAGTATGAGATATTTAATCAAGATATCGTTTTCACTAAAGTCTTAAAAGATCTAGTTAGACATGGACATCAATACCAAAAATCGAATTAAGCCAAAATATTTCGGTTCTTAGATTTTGACATATGGGTAACGGTTATCAAATTTTTACAAAGATTGATTTCGAAGGAAGTTACTATAAAGATGCAACTATACATTTTTCATTCACACCTTGTAAAACCCAATAGTTTATGCTTTGACAATGATTATCTTATATTAATGATATCCTAAGTGAGAGATATTTAATCAAGATGTCGTTTCATTAGATTCTTACACGATCTAGTTAGACATGAACATAAATATCAAAAATGAATTAAGCCAAACTAATTCGGTTTGTAGATTATGACATAAGGGCAATGGTTATCAAATTTTCACAAAGATTGGTTTTGAAGAAAGTTACTATAAAGACGCAACTCTTCGTTTTCTATTCACACATTTTTAAACCCAACATTTTATGCTTTGACAATGATTAACTTATATTAATGACATCCTAAGTATGACATATTTAATCAAGATGTCGTTTTCACTAGATTCATAAAAGATCTAGTTAGACAGGGACATAAGTATCAAAAATCAAATTAAGCCAAACTAAATTTGGTTCATAGATTTTGACATACGGGCAATAATTATCAAATTTTCACAAAGATTGATTTCGAAGGAAGTTACTATAAAGATGCAACTATACTTTTTCATTTAAAATCCAACAGTTTATGCTTTTACAATAATTATCTTATAATGACATCCTAAGTGAGAGATATTTAATCAAGATGATCTAGTTAGACATTAAAATAAATATCAAAAATCGAATTAAGCTAAACTAATTCGGTTAGTAGATTATGACATAAGGGCAATGGTTATCAAATTTTCATAAGGATTGGTTTTGAAGGAAGTAACTATAAAGTCGCAACTCTTTATTTTTCATTCGCACCTTTTAAAACCATAACAATTTATACTTTAACAATGATTAACTTATATTAATGACATCCTAAGTATGAGATATTTAATCAAGATATCGTTTTCACTAGATTCTTAAAAGATCTAGTTAGACATGGACATAAATATCAAAAATCGAATTAAGCCAAACTAATTCAGTTCTTAGATTTTGACGTATGGGCAATGGTTATCAAATTTTCACAAAGTTTTATTTCGAAGGAAGTTACTATAGAAATGCAACTATTCTATTTCATTTACACATTTCAAAACCCAACAATTTATGCTTTGACAATAATTATCTTATAATGACATCCTAAGTGAGAGATATTTAATCAAGATGTCGCTTTCATTAGATTCTTAAAAGATCTAGTTAGACATGAACATAAATATCAAAAATCGAAAGACAAACTAATTCGGTTCTTCGATTAATATTACGTAAGGGCAATGTTTCTCAAATTTTACTCTGCTTAGTGAATGCTTTCAAAACCAATTTGTTATCGTTCACCCTAGGGTATAAATGTAACTTGGTATGTGGAAGATTGTTTTTTTAAATATTTTTTTTTTGCGATAAAGTTCGTAGAGTTTGGTTTGATATTTTTTTTTAAAAAAAATAATCAAAGTCAATTCGATACGATCTTTAAAGAATATAAGCAACACGACTCGTAATTATACCAACATGGGTTAGGGTACAGTAATTGGACTTCTCCATCCTTATAAATCAAAAGTCTTGAGTTTGAGGCATAAATATGGAAAAAATCATGTTATGAGTGTCCCATCTAAATAAACCCTATAGTATACAATTCGAAATATGAACTCAATACGCTAAGTAAAAAATACAAAAATAAAAAGACTCAGTAATAATTCACTTGTGCACACCTTTATTGAAATGATTATACACTATCCTGAACAAACCAAAGAACAATTGAAACATAACAAACTATTAGATGTTAAAATAACAAACAAACCAAAAGAACAATTGAAACATAACAAACCATTAGGTGAACAAAAAAAAGAAATTGAAAACCTTAATAACTTTACCTAAAATTATATATTTATGTTAAAAAATTCATTGATATGACTAAATAATTAACTCAAATCCAATAAGTTCTTTTCTAATTTAAAATTCATAAATTCTAAATTTTAAATTAGTCTCGGCCTCAATGCACCCTTAACTATATTGATGTCTCATGTTCATGTTTTGAGTATGAAAAAAGTTCACGTAAAAAGTGCTTCTCCCTTTTAGATGAAATGAGACTCCTGCCTTGTTTATTTTTACTTAATGAAGACAAACTTTTTATTTATACATTTGTCGGTTTCATAGTAAAGTCTTACTTATTTGTACGCGGCAAGTCTACTTGCTTGTTACTACTATGAACTAGTAAAATTTTGTTGTGTTTTGTTTTAAAGTTGTTCGAATTCTTCACAATTGATGTCATACGCAAACATAATATGATTGTTGATGTAGGATTTGTATTTTATACGGAATTCAATCTACTATTTTGGATATATCTTAACAATTTTAAATCACACAGTTAAAAGATATATTTATCCTTTTTACCTTAATAGAATTCTCACGGAAAATGCTTGATATAAAGCTTTCAAGGCTTTATATGCAAATACTGAACCTATAAACCTGTTGAATTAATATATTAGCCCCTTTTACCTTAATAAAATCCTCAAAAATATAATGTAAATCTTAACGGATAATCAAAAATTTTAATTAATTTTTTCAACGCTTCAGTGCAAATATCAAACTTATACACCTATTAAATAAACAATGTTATAGCTCGAAATTGGTGCCGCCAGAAAAATCAAATATTTAAGTCAGAATTTATTATTGGCAGAGAAAATAAGTGGTGAACCTTTGTACAACAAAGCAAACAATTCAATAAAATAACCTGCCCATAACTCATACTCCCTCCATTCACATTTTTATATAATATAGTTTGATTCGATAAAATTTTTAAGATAAAAAAAATAAAAATTTAAATTTTAAAAGAAATAATAAATATTTACGTAATTATATATCATTTCATTATAATATATTTTCCTTTTTAGAACTGACTATAAATTAAGACTAACTCTTTCTTTTTTGTGACATAACCCCAAATAATGGATTCTTGGTTCATCATTTTTCTTATTACTCTCATCTTTCTGTTTAATTTCTTATTTTTGTTCTTCTCAAATTCCAAAACTAAGAAAAAACTCCCACCAGGACCTTTTTCATTTCCATTTATTGGAAATTTACCATTATTGATAAATAAATCTTTATATGATATTGAAATTATATTACAAAAACTCATACCTAAATATGGTCCTATTATTACCCTCAAAATAGGTACTACTATTTCTATTTTTATTAGTAGCCACTCTTTAGCCTACAAGTCTCTAATCCAACTCGGTGCTCGATGCTCCGATCGTCCACTCGAATCACCAACCAGTCTCCTTTTAAGTAGCAATCAACGAACCATCAATACCGCCTCGTATGGACCTACGTGGCGGGTGCTACGTAGGAACCTTAGGGCGGAAATGTTACGTACCACGTCCCAATCAAAATTTCGAGTTGATTGGGCATTAAATATCCTTGTTCAAAAGATAAATCATGAATCTGACTCTAAAACGGGAGTGATTTTACTTGATCATATAAAGCACGCCATCTTTAGTCTTCTTGCATTCATGTGCTTCGGTGAAAAGCTTGACGATGTTCAAATCAATCAAATTATGGATGTACAACATCGTGCACTTTTAGCTACGATACGATTCAAAATACTTGACATTTTCCCTAGAGTCGGGAAATTGATCTTCAGAAACCGTTGGAAGGAGCTCATTGCACTACGAAAAGAGGTGGATAGCGTATTCACACCCCTAATTGAACGTAGAATAAAGTACAAAATCGAAAGATTCAACTCAGGAGTTCGTCAAGAGGAAGAGGAAACGGTTTCCTACATCGATACGTTGCTGAATTTGGAACTACCAGAGGAGAAGAGGAGAGTAACTAACGAAGAGATTGTTACGCTCTGTGTTGAGTTCCTCGGGGCAGCTAGCGATACAACATCCAGCGCGTTGCAGTGGATAATGGCGTACTTGGTTAAGTACCCTGCGATTCAGGAAAAGGTGTATGAAGAAATTGTGAAAGCAGAGGATTCGATGAAATTGTACTATTTAAAAGCAGTGATCCTGGAATGTTTAAGGATTCATCCACCATCGCATTTTCTGTTACCACATAGAGTAACAGAGGAAATGGAATTGAATGGGTACGCGTTACCAAAGAACGCAATAATCTATTTCATGGCGAGAGAGATGGGATTAGACCCGAACGTGTGGGAGGATCCGATGGAATTTAGACCAGAGAGGTTCTTGGTGGATGACGAGACGTTTGATATAAGAGGAAGCAGAGAGATCAAGATGATGCCATTCGGCGTAGGGAGGAGAATATGTCCGGGCTATGACTTTGCTATGTTTCATTTAGAATACTTCGTTGCTAACTTGATTCGGTGTTTCGAGTGGAAGACTGTGGAGGGAGACGACGTTGATTTAACGGAGAGGTTAGATTTTACCTTCACTATGAAGAATCCACTGCGAGCTCGCATCAGCCCCAGGCAGAATTGATTGCTTGCTATATGTAATTTTATTATCTGTTAAAGCTTCACTGACATATTAGAATAACTAGTTTTGTGGCATCCGTTAGCTATTAGAAAACTTCTTATTTGCTACGGACCTTGAGGAGACGTGCATAATCATAGCAACGAGCGTAAACACTTGCATTAGTAACAACAAACTTTTGTGTCTAAACAATGGGGCATAGTTCTCCAGTTGTGTGCAATCAAAAAAACCGGTGCCTGCATCAACTTTCCATGATATGGTCTTGAAAAAATGTGAGACATCAAAAGCTTTTCCATGTTATTCTGATAATCATGTGCAATATGTCAACTCTGACATGGTTTTTCGATTATGCCAATATACTCGCTTCCTCCATCGTACCATGTACTGAGATGCTCTCCGCTGTAGGTGATGGTAAATAGTAACATCAGATTCATTGAAGGTTTATGCTCAAGACCCTTCCGTTAAGTATAAAAATATAGGCACAATCTCGATGAACGTGTGATTATGTGCTAAATGAAACTCCAAGGAACTGCTGAAGTGTCAGATGCATCAGTACCTAAATGTTGCCACTCAAGACCACAAAGGTGTTCACCCCGCCATTTAACTACTGGTGAGGAATAAGAATAAGGTTGAAGAGTCATGCCCCAGCCATAATCGTTGTTTGGCGAAAGGCTGTATAGAGCCCCTTTGAAATATTGCATACAGAAGTATATGCATACTGCAATTTTGGAAACAAGAAGGGATCTTTTGATACATGTTCTCCAAACATCCTTCATCTCTACGACTCCAAAAACAACAGAGATGTCATCCAGCACATCATCTCTGTTGACTAGAATATTGGGAAATATATCATCATCAAGATATGGACCAGGATCAAAGACAAGATACAACGAAGTTGGCTTTAATACATGAACACCAACATAGCAAGCAAGAGCACATCATCTTTGTGGACGAAAATATTGGGAAACTGCTCCGAATATCATGCAGCAAATGCCTCAAGCAACCCCTGTATTTTCTCCGCCTTGCCCAATTCTCTCGATTTTGACAAGAAGAAACCAGGAAGACATAGGTCATGTCCTTTACCAACCCAAATGAAAGAATCCCACTTGACATAATGAAGTTATTATGATCTAAGTTGTCCGAAGCGAGACAAAATACAGAGTTTCTTGTAACTCTAAGAAACATGGTAAGTAAACGAGAGCCAGGATCAAATGGAAATGCTAATCTGAATTGATCAGGTGAAACAGGACCAAGCCTACTAAAGAAAGGCGAATCGACTGTGAGGAGCTTTCCCGCTATGAAAACGAATAAACAATTTATCTACCAAATGATCCCAACCCGCAAGTTGAGCCAACGATACCATTACTAGATGGAACTCAGTGAAAGCACCAATGTAACAAACTCAATAAAACTAAAACAACTGATAGATATATTTCACTAACTTGATTTGGCTAAAAATACAATTGCCGCTAAAGGTCATTTTTGTTTTAGTGTAAACCGCCACTAAAACAAATAATGATCGCCCTAAATATAGGTAGTCAGAGAAGCTAAAACAAATAACTCACTGCTAAAGGTAAGAAATAGGGACAACTAAAACCAATAACAGTCGCTGCTAAAGGACAAGTGTAGTGACAACTTAAATTGCCACTTAAACCAATAACAGTCGCCACTAAAGGACAATTATAGTGGCAACTAAAATCAATAACAGTCGCCGCTAAAGGACAATTTTAGTGGACAACTTAAACCGCCGCTAAAACAAATAACAATCGCCGCTAAAAGTAAGTTTTAGAAGCAACAAAAACCGCCACTAAAACAAATAAAAGTCGCCTTGAAAGATAAGTATTTGTAGCAACTAAAACCGCCACTAAATAAAATACATGTCGGTGCTAAAGGTCATTCGTGGCAACTAAAGCTGCCACAAAATCAAATAAAAGTCACCGCTAAATGGTCGGTTTTAGTAGCAACTTAAAACCGTCACTAAAATAAATAATGGTGACCGCTAAAGGTATGTTTTACTAGCAACTAAACCCGCCAGTATAACAAATTACAGTCGCCGCTAAATATCAATTTAGGCAACTTAAACCGACACTAAAACCAATATTTCTCGCTGCAAAAGGTAAGTTTTAGTAACAACTAAAACCGCCACTAAATCATATAAAAGTCACTGCTAAAGAAATGTTTTAGTGGCAACTTAAACAGCCACTAAAACAAATAATAGTCCCCGCTAAAGGTAAGTAGTGGTAATTAAAACTGCCACTAATCAGATAAAGTCGCCGTTAAAGATCAGTTTTAGTAGCATTTAAAGACAACCATTAAAATTGATAAAGGTTTACGCTAAAGATTGGTTTTTGTGGCAACTAAGACCGCCACTAAGTCAAGTAAAAGTCGCCGTTAAGACTTTGTTTTTTGTGAGTCTTGAAGGTAATTGCACAATTAAATTTCAACATGAGAAGAAAAGAGAGTGAGAAACTATAAATGAAGGATAATAAAAATGCTAGAGTATATCATCTACTTACCTTTAGTGAATAAAATATAAATTAATTTCAGCATTTTCTATTTTATAATTCAACTTTTTAAGATATAGAAAATTAATAATAATAATAAAAAACAAACGTGCAATGCACGTTCCCAAAAACTAATATCGTAATAAAATGGTTCGCCATCTTTGACAAGATATGGCTGGAAGCAAGATTAAGATGGTTCGGTCAGGTGAAGAGGAAATAGAAAAATGTCCTAGTAAGGAAGTGTGAGAGGTTGGCAGTGGCGGGCATTAGAGGCCAGCCAAAGAAGTAATGGAGTAAGGTTATTAGATAGGGCATGACTTAGCGAAGACATGACCTTAGAAATGAGGTTATGAAGATCGAGAATTAGGGTTCAAGGTTATTAAATACTCGAGCATTGTTGTCTCCTTGTATTCCCTAAGCATTGGAACTAATCTCGTAATTTTTTGCCCTTCAATTTCTGTTAATGAAAAAAAGGTCAAATATACCTGTGTACTATCATGAATAGTTTAAATATACTCTTCGTTATATTTTTTGAGTCATATATAACTTTGTACTATTATATTTAGGAACAAATTTACTTATATTAGATACAAAGCTCAATTTTAGCAAGTTTTGTTCTATGCCATAATTTGTTCGAAGCTTGACTTGTGTTCTCCATTAAAATAATAGAAAATTTATTTAACATTGTAAAGAGATATATATTTGGATTGAAAGTATAATGTGAATGGTATATTCGATCCAAAAATATAACGAAGGGTATTTTGAACAATTTCTGACAATATAGGAATATATGTGACTCTTTTCATTCATAGCTTGTTAGCTTATTTGTAAATTACATTATCTCATTATAGATTCTTCTTGTAAATCTCGAATAAAATATTATCGTCAATCCCATTAAATATATCAAAATGACTAGGAATATAAACAAATATTTTAAATGATTATTTTGGATTTGAGAAACAATTTTCAACTGTGGAACAAATCCCACATTTGGGAAGGGATTTTAAAATTCTTAGGTTAATACAAAACAAATCCAATTTGATACAACTCAATTTTTCATTTTTTTTATTTTGAATCATTTAGTTTGATCTATTCAATTTCCAGTTTATCTAACAATAAAAAAATCAATAGAAAATAATAGAAATGTATTATGTTTATCATGGTCATGAATGACAGTATTAAAGAGGAAGAATTATTGGGTAGAAGTAATAAAATAGAATATGACTCAATTTCATATTACAAAAGACTTGACTTTAGATAGTAAGATGTGAAAAATACGTTTTAGCGTAAAAGGTTAATAGGTAGTGTAGTATCGCCTTGATAAGGTTGTTCATGTCACCCATTGTACTTATTGTAGTCGTGTTTTGATATTCATCATTATTAAATTTCAATATTCTATCCTAGTATACTATGTATTGTGTCTCGATTATTACAATATTTTACTGTAGTTATTGCTTCCTTCAGATAGACTTTGCATTGTTGTGACTCGCTATATTTTCTTCTTTATATTTAGAATTATTGCATTTGAGTCAAAAGATCTTTTAGAAGCAATCTCTCTTCGTCCACAAGGTTAAAACGAGAGTCGTTATTCTGAAATATTATTATGTTGTTAAAATAAGATTAAATATATAAAGAAAAATAGATTCAAAGCCTCAATATTTTAAGAATTTTGTCTGTTCATTTTTCAGACGTTACAATAATTAATAACCTATCGATGATATCATTTGAAAGTCAATTTCACGTGTCTTCTTTAATAATGATGAAACCTTCTGAAATTTCAACATATATTTAATTATATTAAATATTTTTTAAATTGTTAATAAATAAAATTTGAATTTTCATAAATATGGGGATATAATAATTTAGAATAAAATGACCATATATGGATAGTTTTTATTACTACATTTTAAAACAACTAGCAAATCGGATTAAAATTCATAAAATAAGTGTGATCAAGTATCTTTGGACAAAATAATTATATATATGGATATTTTTCAATTTATTAATCTTTGACTTTAAATTTAGTAACTTAAGAAAGAAAAAGAAAATTAATCAAACTTCATTTTAATATTTTTCTTATTTTAGTCGGTCTTAGATATTCACCAAACTAACGGCTAAGATCATCTTTCTTTTGTGCTTTCTCTTTCTCTCATTCGTCAAATTTTATTTTTCTTATATTGGTTGAATCGAGAAAGTAACTCATTGTGGGTAAGATACATTTTTTTTTCTTTTTTTTTTTTCTGATTTGATTGAGTCTGAATTGAACTTCTTGTATAGTTTGTTTTCTAATTATTTCTTCTTTTTTTGGCTTAGTTTTCAAGTGAGAAACTTTTAGCATTAGAATTATAGCAAACGGAGTACATTTGAAACACTTCAAAATGGTAAGATTTTTCAATTTGAGTTATATCAATATTTGTAAAAAAAAATATTTAAATTTGGTAAGTCGATTCTTTTTATGTCTCTTCTGTTCTAGATCTATGGTAAAATTGACAGTCGATCTGTCGTGTTCTGAATCTATGGTAAAATTGACAGTCTATCGCTCCTGTTTTAGATCTATGGTAAAGTTGACAGTCTATCTCTTCTATTCTAAATTTATGGTAAAATTGACAGTCAATATCTCCTGTTCTAAATCTACGGTAAAATTAACAGTCAATCTCTCGTGTTCTAGATCTATGGGTAAAATTGACCGTTAATCTCTCCAGTTCTAGATCTATGGTGAAATTAACGGTCAATCTTTTTTGCTTTGATTGTTTCTTTTTTCACTCTCTACCACATGCTTTTATTTATTAAAAATCAATTTCTTTTTTCATAGTGATATAAGATTAATGTTTTCATTTTGATATGAGGAATTGTTGTCTTAAAATAATCTATTTTTCTAGTTTTATAATATGCAAAATTGCTATCACTTTCTTATATTAGACTATTTCTAATACTTCTTTCACTTAATTTTATAGTCAATTCATTTAATTTTCTTGAGATATAATACTGCATATATATCATACTAATTTTAATAATTCTTTCCTCTTATATGATAAAAATTATTTTTTTCCACGAATAGTACTCAATTTTTCATTTCAAAATACTTCTATAACATATTATTGTTAAAATATGGAATCCCATAAACTTTAGAGCCTAAGATCTTTCGAACAAACCCAAAATCCAAAAATTTAAAACAATAATTTTTTCTGTAAAAAATGAGCTCTTTGAAGCTGAAATTCTCGGAGATCTATAAATATTGAAAACTGAGCTTTTAAATGATTTAGATTTTGAGATTACTGATATTGTGAAGGATTGAACGGGTAAGTTATAGAACTTATCCTTTCACCCCTTTTACGATCATAATTATCAGAACTTGAAATCCAAATCCTTTAAAATCTCAACTTTCGATTTTTTGTGAATCTCCAAGAACTTGGACTTAAGATTACTCATAGAGAAAATTATTGTTTTTGTTAATTCATAGAAAAAGGAGAATTTTTAGATTTTGGGAATGCAATACTTTTCTTCCTTTTCGTTTATAGGAAACAAACAATGGTACATATTTAGTTTAAAAAGTGACCAATATCACTTGTAATTTATGAGAAGCAACCCCTTTAATAATGATGAACATTCTTAAATATCTAAACATATATTTGATTCTATTAAATTATCAATAAATAAAGGGGATATAGTAATTGAGAATAAAATGATCACACGTGGATAGTTTTTATTTTTAAATAATACATCATCAAACTATTAGTGAATTGAATTTAAATTATTAAAATAAGTGTATTCAAGTAACTTCTAGACAAAATAAGTATATATATGAATATTTTTCTAAAAACTAATCTTTGACTTTAAATTTAGTAACAAAGGAAAAACAAGAATAATAATAAATTTTCTTTTTAGATTTCTTTCTATTTTAGCCTGTCTTTGATGTCCACCAAACTAACGGCTAAGATTTGAATCACGTAAAATATTTAAATAAGCGTGTAATATTATTTTCTATAGACTATCCTGTTTGGATGGGCTTAATAAAAGCAGCTTTAAAAAAGTACTTTTAAAAGTGCTAAAACTTATTTTAAAAATAAGCAGTTATGTGTTTGGATAAAAGTGCTGAAGTTGTTATGTCAAACGTGAAAAGGGATAAATGGAAGAAAGAAATGTTAGGGTTATATGGGTAATTTGGAGATTGTATAAAAATATTAAGCACAAAAAGATAAAAATGTGGTCAACTTAAAACAGCTTATAAGCTAAAAATAAAAAAGCACCCCTACCCCTGCTTTTAACTTTTGGCTTAAAATAAGTTTTTTTAACTTAAAATAAGCTGTTTTGAATATTGCCAAACAACTAAATAAGTCAAAAATTAGCTTTTAAGTCAGTTTGACCAGCTTTTAAGCTGAGCCAAACAGGCTCTATATTGTATAGGATCGCTCATCCTACTAATATAAAATCTGTTGAATTTTCTCTTTCTCTCGTTCATCAAATTAAGGTTTTCTTATTTTTTATATGCTTTTTGGTTTTCTCTCCTTAAATAGTTTTCATGTTGTGAGTAAAATACCTTTTTTCAATTTTAATTGAGTCTAAACTGAATTTCTTATAAAGTTTGTTTTCTAATTATTTCTTCTTCATTTTTGGCTTTGCTTTTCAAGTGAGACATTTCAACATTAGTCATTTTAGCAAGCGGAGGACTACATTTGAAATACTTCAAAATGGTAAGATTTTCTATTTGAGTTTTATAAATATTTGTAAAAAAATAATAATTAAATATTCTAAGATTATTCTTTAAATGTCTCTCGCGTTTTAGATCTATGGTAAAATTGATAATCAATATCTCTCCTGTTCTAGATATATGGTAAAATTGACGGTCAATATTTCTTGCTTTGATTGTTTCTTTTTCACTCTCATCTTATTTATTCAATCAATTAGTAAGGGTGACTCAAACATATTATTAGGAAAAGTCAAAATCGAATGAAGATCTAAAATTTTCTAAAAATAATCTATTCTTATAGTTTTATAATATGCAAAATTGCTATTAATTGCTTATATTAGACTATTTCTAATATTTCTTTTTCAACTAATATTATAGTCAATTCATTTAATTTTCTTGAGATATAATACTCTGCATATATGTCATACTAGTTTTAGTAATTCTTTCCTCTTATATGAAAATTTCATTATTTTTTTCACGAATAGTATTCAATTTTTCATTTCAAAATATTTCTATAACCTACTTTTGCTAAAAAAAATAAAAAATTAACATTCCTCTAGTTGAAATTAATTATTCTTGGGTGTATCAGCCATAATTCCTTTCACATATTCTTAGTTGTATCCCCAAAATCCAAAAATTCTCTTCTTTCTATAGAATTAAATAAAACAATAATTTTTTTCTGCGAAAAAAATGAGCTTTTTGAAGTCGAAATTCTTGGAAATCTACAAATATTAAAAATTGAGCTTCTAAATGATTTAGATTTTAAGTTTACTGATAATGGTCGTGAAGGATCGAACGGTTAAGTTATAAAACTTAGTATTTCACCCCTTTTACAATCATGATTATCAGAACTTGAAATTCAAATCCTTTAGAATCTCAACTTTCGGTTTTTTGTGAACCTCCAAGAGCTTGGGTTTATGATTACTCGTAGAGAAAATTATTATTTTTTGTTAATTTCATACAAAGAGGAGAATTTTTAGATTTTGGGGATATAGTAATTTAGAATAAAATGACCATGCATGGATAGTTTTTTTATTATTATTACATCTTCAAACTATTAGTGAATTGAATTTAAATTCTTAAATCAGTGTGTTCAAGTAACTTTGGACAAAATAAGGATATATATGAATATTTTTCTATTTACTAATCTTTGAATTTAAATTTAGTAACAAAGGAAAGAAAAAGAAAAAAAAATCAATTTTTTATTTCTTTTCTTATTTAGCCAGAACAAACTAATGGCTTTGATTAAGTCTAAACTAAATTTCTTGTATAATTTGTTTTCTAATTATTTCTTGGCTTTTCGCTTTTCAAGTGAAAGATTTTAGCATTATAGATCTTAGTAAACGGAGGACTACTCTGAAATACTTCAAAATGATAAAATTTTCGACTTGAATTATATCAATATTTGTAAATAAAAAATAAAAAAATTAAAATTTTAAGACTATTTTTTTTAAGTCTCGTGTATTCTAGATATACGGTAAAACTGACAGTTAATATTTCTTGCTTTGATTGTTTCTTTTTTCAATCTCTACCACGTGCTTTACTATTTCTATATTAAGTTTTATTTTTCTTAGTGGTATGACATTAATGTTTTTCATCTTGAGGAATTGTTGTGATTCATGCATATATATATATATATATATATATATATATAT